TGCTGCTTGGCCTGCTGTGTTCATCCAGCCCTGCACCTTGTTGTCTCGGATTCTCCAGCATCTGCAGTTCCTACTATCTCTTAAAGATGTTGTCATTTTTTAGTTACTGTTGAGAAAGTTAGCTGTTGTGTTTCCTGCATTCTAGTTGTGAGTGCACTGGTTGTGAAGTGTTTTTAGGTTTGCCCTGAGGTTGTGAAAAGCCTTATACAGATGCAAGTTCTTTCTTTAGTTTGCCTTGGAAGAAAATGGTTTCATTCTGAAAGCCGCTTGGTGGTAGAGGATTTGAGTCTAGCTGACGACAAGAGACATACCATTGAGATTTTTCATTTTGCATTGATCAGGACAGACGCAAGAGCACCAAATTTCAAAGGCCGCAACAATTTATACTCCATGAGAAAATAAAAATGCTTATTGCTTGGCAAGTCAATGCTGATTGGTCCAGGCACTGCCATGGAGAAGATTGCCCTCCACGCAATGATTTTGCTCAGTTCCCTGTCAGTTTTCTGATGCAATCTGTATGGCAAGACTTTGATTTATCAAAGTAGCACTATTTTCTCATGCAGCATAAATTGCGGCTTCTTTTGAAATTTGGCACTCTTGCATATGTCCTGATGAATGCAAGTCAAAAAGCTTCAAGAGTATTTTTTTTTCATCAAACCTGAAAATGCTTTATTGGGACTCAAGCATTTTACACACTCTGAATCATTTCCAAATAGTGCAATAACTGTCTTACGTTGATATTTGTCAAACGTATTTTCACTTGCAACAAGGCTTAACAGCCATCAGATAAATCATCATCGGCAATTTTTTTTGTAATGAAGCTTATGGGAGGAATTCTTTTCTTCAGCTAGTGCCACTGAGTCTGTCAATTCTGCCTGAATTAGCTGAACGTAGTTATGTTTGATGTCTGTCTTAAAGGACAGTGTATTTGACACTATGGCAAATGATATGTCAGCCATTTTAAGTGCTCCAGTCTTACCTTTCTCTTGCTCGAAGATAACTGAATCACAAGTAATGCCACTGGCTGTCTTTGTTATTTAATTTAAACTTGATGTTACAAGATGCATCAGATGTATACTGTGAACGTTCAACATTAGCTAAACCTGAATAGATAGTGTCTGTACATTGATGTATTAGGAATAGAAATGTGAAATATATGCCCTTTACAGAATTATCAAGACAAAACAGGAGCAAGCAATGAGATAAAATCACAAAATGTCATAAATCCAAGAATAACGAGAGCAGCATCTTTTTGCTTCAACTACCAACAACTGCAGAATTTTTCTTGCCTATGAAAATGGCACTTGTAAGATTTTTGGTTAACATATTATATTCCTGAAGCATGTATTATATCAATTCTGATCATCATAATCTAAGTAAATCGCAAAAAGTAACATAATAAAAAAAAACACTCCAGTAAGATCAAAGGAACTAGTAACAACAGTAAGTTGTTTGGTCCCTTGAGTCTGCTCCACTATTCATTAGGATCGTGATCTGATACTCCTCAAGTCCACTTTCCTGCCTTTTCGCCATAACCCTTGATTCGCCTCCTGATCAAGAATATCTCTATTTCAGATTGAAATATACCCAAGGAAGCACCCATGCAGCTCTCAGTGCCAGACCATTCCAAAGACTCATAACCCTCTGAGAGGAGAATTTCCTCTCATCTTAGTCTTAGATTGGCATCCCCTTATTTGGCATTCCCTCTGGTCTCACACTCTCCCATGAGGGAAAATCTTCTGAGCATTTACCCTCTCAAGCCCATTAGGAACCTATATATTTCAATGAGATTTCCTCTCATTCTTCTAATCTCAGGTGAGTAGAGTCCCAACCTGTTTAACCTTTGCTCATAAGACAGTCTCTCCTTACTAGGGATAAGCCTAGTGAACCTGTTCTGTACTGCCTCCAATGAAATTATATCTTTCCTTAAATAAGGAGATCAAACTCGCAGTACTCAGACGTGGTCTCACCAGCACCTTGTATAGTTGCGGTAAGACTTCGCTACTCTTATACTCCAACCCCCTTCAAATAAGAGTCAAAATTCCATTAGCCATCATGATTACCTGCTGCGACTGTGTGTGAGCTTTCTGTCTTTTAGTGCGCACATGTCCCCATGTCCTTTTGTGCTGCAGCTTTTCTCCATTTAAATAATACTCCATTGTTTAGTTCTCTCATCTGAAATGAACAACATCATATTTTTCCATAGGATCGTCAATCTACGATTTCTTTACCCACTTACTTAACCGATCAATATTTCTCTGTGAACTGTTTGTATCCCTTTGCAATCTGCCTTTCCACCTATTTTTAATATTGTTTGCAAATTTTGCTGCACTGCATTCACTAAGAAACACCAAGTTGTAGACACTTAGGCCGAGGAATCGGATTGCATAATGCTCACTTTTCAAGCAAAGAGAAGCGGTTGAAGGGTCCACTAGGAAAGGGCAGAATCTGATATTTGGCAATAACAAAGCCACCAGCATAGTGGACTGTACTATTTTACTTACATGCCTGTTCGCCAACTGAATTTAATTTTGAACGGTCTTCTGCCCAGAGCCTTCTGTAAAATTGGACAGAAACTCAGGAGTGTATTGGAGAAGCTTCACATTGCCTAATGTTAAGTTGAGCACTGGAAGTTGTGGATTTAATATGTGGGTAAAGGCACCAGTTGTCACCTAATGTTCCAAAATGTCACATGTTTCCATTGAAATTAGCATCATCAGCCACTGTTAGCACTGCACCTAAAAAATAGCTCAGATTTCCAGCCCCTTTACTTCTGTGTATTCATCAAATCATAGAATCCCTCGGGTGTGGAAAGAGACAAGTCAGCCCATTGTGTCTTAACTGACCCTTTGAAGAGTACCCCACCCAGACCCACATCCCACACACTATCCCTGCATTTACTATGGCTAATCCACCTAGCCTGGACATTCATGGACACTGCAGGGCAATTTAGCATGGCCAGTCCACTTAACCTGTACGTCTTTGGGCTGTGGAATGAAACCAGAGCATCCAGCGGAAAGCTAGGCTGGAATCGTACCTGCGTATCTGACGCTTTGAGGCAATAGTGCTAATCACTGTGCCACCGTGCCACACAAAGAGCACTGGATCAGGGACTTGAACCCTGGCCCCTCATATTAAAAGTCTGATGCTCTACTGACTGAACTACAGGCTCCCAAGACTTACCAGCTGGTTCTTTCATTCTCTAATCTATATTTATTATTTGATCTAATTTATATTTTTACTATTCTATTTTCGTTTATATTCTCCTTTATACTTCCTTCTTGGGCTGTGAGATTCGTTGGTAAGGCTAATATTTAGAACTCAACTCGGGTTGCCCATGTGCTACCCATAACAGTGATTTTATTTTTTATTCTCTCATGGACTGGGGAAATCGTTGGCAAGGTCAGCATTTGTACCTTTCTGGGACATGTAAGAGGACAGCTCACAAAAAAAAACAAATCTTGTGGGTCAGGAGTCATGTGTTAGCCAGGTCATGGAATGATGGCGGATTTCTTCCTGTTATGAGTTAGATGAGATTTTATGACATCGCAGTTGTTCCATGGTCAGTTTTAACAAGGCTAGCGTTTTATCTCAAATTAATTATTTTTACATTTTTTAATAAGAGTTAGTTAATTAAATTCTCCCAGCTGCTATGATGTGATTTTAAGTTTGGCCTCTGAACTATCAGTGCAGACATCTAGATTACTAGACCAGTAACATTCCCACGATGCTCCGGTCTCCCTCCTTAATGTCAGTTGTTCTATCTTCTTTTATGTTTTAAATAGCCTCATGCTGCTTTCTTTGGCGTCTCTAAGGTCACTGTCCTCCTGGGAGGTGACACTTTGATTGAAAATCTAAGACTACGATTGCCTGAAGACCAGCCCTGGAGGTCATTTTGTCACCTCATTGAGCGCTTGCATCTGACAAGATTTTACGAGTGGAATTGAAATTGCAATCCCCAAGAGTAACATTGAAATGGAAGTTGTCTTGTCTGCAATACAAAGAGCCCAGTCAAGCTTGAATGAGCTGACTTATAAGCAGGCCAATAACGGTTATGCTCAGATGACTTGTTCATCATACATATCCAAGCTGCATACAAGAAATAACATTGCACACTGAGGGAGGTGCTGCAGGGAATATAAATGTGTAATTTTACCTTCTTCTTCCGCTCTCAGGAATCAAGGAAAGGAGCTTCAAAAGGTCAATAGCCTACCATTCCTTTTCAAATATGAACTCACTTGCTATTCCTTGAAATGCCTTCAAACCTGTTTAAAGAGTTCCTTTCAACTTAATAGCTGATTTCACTGTTGAAGACTGCAATTTCCCATACCATCTTTCAAATTTCTGCATTTAAAATGTTTGTATGGAATCTGAGCATCACTGACAGAGTCAACATTTGCTTTTCCATTCCCAATTAGCTTTGAGAAGGTGGTGGTGAACCGTTTCCTTGAACTGTTGCCAGTCCTTGTGTTAGAAGGGGAGTTCCACAATTGTATCTCAGTGAGAGCACAAGTATGACAGTATTTTTAAGTCACAATGTTTGAGGCTTGCAGGGGAATTTGCAGTTGATGGTATTCCCATGCATCTGCTGTCCCTGACCTTGTAGATGGTAGTGATGGTGAGCTTTGAAGGTACTGGCTGAGGAAGCTTGGTGAATTGTTGCAATTTTCATACAATCACTGTTACTGCTGTGTACCAGTGGCCCAGGCAGTGAATGTTGAAAGTAGTAGATGGGATGTAAATGAAGAGGATAGAGATAACAAGGTGCAGAGGTGGATGAACACAGCAGGCCAAGCAGCATCAGAGGAGCAGGAAAGCTGACATTTCGGGCTAGACCCTTCTTCAGAAGACCCATTCTGCACCTTGTTATCTCAGATTCTCTAGCATCTGCAGTTCCTACTATCTCCGAAACAGTGAAGAGGATAGCTTTGATTGGTGTGGCATCAAGCTTTGGAAATGTACTCATCCAGCAGGTGAAGAATATTCAAACATTGCTTCTGATTTGTGGTTTTGGAGTCTGGCTTGTGGAGTGTGCAAGTGATTAATTTACTACAGAGTCACCAGCATCGTGCCTGCTTTTTTTGGCCACAGTATTTATAAGATTGGTCCAATTCAGTTTCTGGTCATTGGTAGCCCTGAGGATGTTCAGGAATTCAGCCATGGTATTCACATTTAAACATAGAAAATAGGAGCTGTAGTAGGCTGTTCGGTCCCCTTGGCCTGTTCCACCATTCAGTAGGATCATGGCCTATTCATTACCCAACTCAGTAACCAGTTCCTGCTTTCTCCTCATACCCTCTCATCCCTCAGCAGGCTCACCACTCTCTGGGTTGAGTAATTTCTTCTTATCTCTATCTTAAATGGCCCACTTTGTATCCTCAGACTATGATGCCTTGTTTATGAGATCCCTCCCCTCATCTCCTTAACTCCAGTGAATATAGTCTGAACCAATCCAGTCTGTCTTCATATATCTGTTCTGACATCCCAGCAATCAATTTTGCTCTCCCGTCATAGTCAGAACATCTTTCCTCAATTGTAACTGAATCTCTGCACAAAATTCCAAGTGTGGTCTCACCAAGGGCCCTGTACCATTGCAGCAAGATATCCCTGCTCCTTTCCTCTTGCTACGAAGCTAGTTTATTGGAGAGGATCATTGCTTGGCACTGGTATAGCATAAATGTTACTGCCACTTGTCAACCTCTTATATTGTAGAGGTACTTACCACTGTAATTATTAGCAAACATCTTCACATTGGATTTTATGATGGAGGGAAGGTTATTAATGAAGCAGTTGAAGATGTTTGGATACAGGGCACGACCCTGATGAACTCCTGCAGTGAAGGCCTTGGCTGGAGCTGATTAGTCTCTAACAGCCACAAACATCTTTGCTCAGTATGACCCCAGCCATTATGTAGTTTTCCCTGATTCCTACTTATTTCAGATCTGCTGTTTCTTCTTGACACCACATATGATCACTTGTTATCTTGATGTCAAAGGCAGCTGTTCTCACTTTAGTTCATTTGCCCTGTTTGGACCAAGACCGTGATGAGTTCAGGAGCTGACAAGCCCTGCTGGAGGATGATGAGCTTTGGTGAGCGGATTGGTGCTGTGTAAATGCCACTTGGTAACACTGTTTACGTCACCTTCTATTACTGTGTGGATAACAGAGAGAAGACTGATCGGGTACAGGAATTAGGAGTGGGATGAGGTTATTCAGCCCATCAAGCCTGATCCACGATTAGATAAGATCACAGCTGATTAGATGTGGCCTTAACTCTCTTTTTCTGTTTGCCCCATAATCTTTGACACCCTTATTGACTGAAAAAAAGACCTGCCCGATTTTGCCTTGAATTTGCTTGATGACACTGACATTGTTGCTCTCTGCAGGTGGGAATTCAGCAGACTAATGACTCTCTTTATCTCAGACTTAATTGGTACTTTTTTTTTAACCGTGTCCCCTAGTTCCAGATTCTTGCACAAGATGAAAGACCTCTCAGCATCCACCCTGTCAAATATGTTATATTTTTTCCAAGATCATCTGTCATTCTTCTAAACTCCCAGAAATGTAATCTTCATCTGCTAACATTTCCTCATAAAGTAATCTCTTCATCCCAGGAGGCAGGCAAGTAAAGCTTTTCTGAATTGTTTCAGTTGCAGTTATATCCTTTCTGAAGTAAGGGGACCAGAACTGAACACTATGCTCCAGATGTGGTCTGTCTACTGCCCCTATACTGCTGTGGAAAGACTTCCTTGCTTTGATACTTAGCATCCTTGCAATAAATAACAGCATTTGATTTTCTTTTCCATTCGCTTACTGCATCTGCATACAACCTTTTGTTAAAATTCATGTACAGACATCCGGATCCCTCAGTAACTAAAGAGTTTTGCAGTCTCTATTCATTCCAAAAAATACACTATATTTACATCCTTCCTGCCTTTCCACATTATACTATTTTTTTGAACAGATGATTTGAGCCATAGGTATAGAGCTGTCTCCTGCAAACCTATAAACAGTTTATGAGGCTTGATTTTATTTTAATAACGTTGGAACAATAGAAGCAGCATGACTGGGTGGAGTCAGGCTCCCATAGAACCGGGGTTTTCATTTAGTTTTCAGTAGTTGCTGGGGTTTGGAAGCTGTCATTCCTCTTTCTGTTACAACTAAAAGCTGGAGTTCCTTCTGTTGTCAGGCTAGCATGTGAAACAATCTATTTTACTGAATTTGCCTTTGCCAAAAGGTGTTTATAGGATGTTACTATATTGGCGCAGTTGCTGTTTAGTAGTTGAATAATCTATTATTCTGTTAAATTTTCACAAAGAGTTAAGTTAGACCAATTCTCCTGTCTTTTGTTTGCATTTTAACGATAGGGTAAGAATAAAATGTGTTTTGCTTAAAGCTGAGAAGTGTAACCAAACGAATTACACTGGGAATGTAGCATTTTACATTTGCCTTTAAATAAGAAAACGTTCGGGTCCAGGCTGTCTCCTTGACAAATTTGAAGGGAGTTTGGTCTGGTCCATAACCTGTGTCCATTCGACAACTTGATTTCCTACCCATCTTTGTGTCATCATGAAGCCTACCCTCTGTACCTTTTGCCTGTTTATCGAGTTCATTGATATAGATTGTAAGTAGTATAGTCCCAGGCACTGATTTTTGTGGCACACCGCTAGTAACAGCTGTCAACCTGAAAAACACCCATTTATCCATACTCCGTGCTTCTGTTAACTACCCAATCCTTTATCCAGACTTCTACTTTCTATTTTCTACCTTCACCTTCTATTCCATTCACTCTTTAATTTTGTGGCATAACTTTTGATGGTTTCTGATGGTATGTAGGGAAACACAACAGTTAATCTGTGCTTGGCAACATCCCACAAAAGCCAATGAGATAAGTGACCAGTTAAAACTATTTTCTTTGGCAGAGGGATAATTGTTAGAATCATAGATTGGCCTGCTTCTGTGCTGTAACCAGCCTGCCTGTTAAAACTAAACCAGCTCTCTGCAAGTGCAACTGAACTAGTGCAACTCCCACTTCACCATGAAACTTAAAAAAAATCTGCGGATGCTGGAAATCTGAAGATGAAATAGAAATAGCTGGAGAAACCGAGCAGATATGGCAGCATCTGTGGAGAGAAAGCAGAGTTAATGTTTTGAGCCTAGTGGCCCTTCACTGGACCTGAAACGTTGGCTCTGCTTTCCCTCCACAAATGCTGGCAGACCTTTGGGTTTCTCCAGCTTTTTCTGGATTTTGTTCTGAAAACAACAAATGCTGGATATCACATCAGGTCAGGCTGCATCCATGGAGAGAGATCAAGTTAACATTTCGAGTTTACATGACTCCTCAGAGCTGCTGAAGTGTGTAGGGGGCAGCATTCATGAAAAAGTGGGGGGCGTTGGGGAGGGTAGAGTGCTGGGGGAGAAAGGATATTGATAGTTCAGATTAAGTGATCAGAATGTGAGAGTGGCAGAACAATGGTGTGTCTAGCTTCCAGACTGGAAAGAACAGACTGGCATATGGGAAGGGGAGAGAGGACATGGTGACAGAGAATGTAACAAGTACAGCTAAAAGAAAGGGAAGGAATGGGAGTTCGTTCACAATTTGAAGGTGTTGATCTGAATATTAAGTTCAAAAAGTTGTAAAGTGGTTTGTGTTACCAATTTCTCATCTCCATGCTGCTCTATTGTAAAACTCTGATCCAGTTGCTTGATTTTGCATAAACAACCCAGTTTCCAATTCCGAATGCACTGAGTGGAGCTGATTGGCTGCCAACTTCACCTTGTGACAGCTGTTTCTTTTTGTGAATGAATGATTTAATTTGGCCATGGTACAAGGCACAACTGGCCAATTTTGTCAGCCATTTAGAGTGCCTCATCTTAGTGTAATATTTCTTGACAATTGGTATGTTTGTCAGGATTCAGCTGCATAAGCACCCCATAACAAAGTTCTAATGTTTTTTTAATTTAACACTGATAAAATTGCTACTGATGAATGGAAGTCTGGTTTGGGGCACTGATTGCATGCAACAAGACTGAACTCTGCCTCGTTTGCCCTTTTGGTCTTTTACTTTGTCCATTCACTCACAACTTTCCTCAGTTTTAAATCTCTTACTAGTACCTGTGTGTAACGCTTGTCATTACTCTGTCATTCCACAGAAAAGAGTGGCATGAACGTTCATAATTTTAAAGAAAGATATTGACACAAACATGAAATAAAATCATTGGAATGAAAGATGATGCATATGTTAATAAAATTGATTTTCTGAACAATTGTAAACAGTAAGCAATTTGTTTTTACTGTCTTAATGATTGATAAACTCTCTTGTAGTAACTGGCATCTTGACCCATTGTTTGCTGAGGATGGGCAGGATAGTCTCTTCTTTCAATAGTAAATGGGTGGCATAAAATGGGCATGGAGAATCAGTGAATTCCAGCAAATACTGTGAAGTTAGTCAGGCTTAACGTAGAAAAAAAATTGCTGGGGCAAACTTTGACCAGGCACGGAAGTAGAATTTGGGTGAGTAGCCATTTAAAATGATCACTGATATGAGGAAGCAGGTGTATTTATTTCATTTTCCCAGTTCACCTCCAAAAGAATGAAGGAGCAGTTACTAATATCAAAATTCATGTATTTATAATAAGTACATAAATATCCAGTTCAGATTAATGCTGCATCCGAAGGTTACACTCTCATGTTTTTAAATATTGAGTTTATGTAGCTAACTCAAATGTAAAATAAACTAGCATTGCTGGACCTGAGGGAAAATCTCAACGAGCACTTTAAATTTGTATTATTCCTTCCTGGCTGCAATGATCTTGCTGCTAGTGATTTCATTGCTTCTGTCTTTTAGCAATATGAAGGAGCTGTTTGATTGTCATTCAGTTTGTTCAGCAACCTGTGGAAAATTCTTTTGTTCTGATTCTTCTCACCCTGATGGTATAGTAGAAATTGGGAATTTATCACGTGAAAAAAATTTCAGAGTCAAATCTCCCTCAGCCCTTGGCAAGAGCAGTGCATTAAGGTCCATCAATCCATATTGTAAGTAGATTGATTTTTGTGATATTATTTAAAACTAAATGACTTCTTGCCTTAATTAAGAACAATATTTGTCTACTTACCTAACATTAATGAATTAGTGCATTAGTGAAACTAGGAAAAAGTCAAGCTGGTCAAGAGCAATTCAATCTTGTCATACTTCCTATTTAGCCTTTTCCCATCAAGGATGTTTTGAATGGCAGGTCTGGAATTCCTGCATTTAAATGATCCACAGAGTAGATCTGTTTTGTAACTGTGAAACTGTTCGAAGAAAATTGCGGCAAATGATTCTGTGAATTGTATAGCTACTGCCATTTGAGCACCCTAAGATATAGCACCTGCTAGCTGCAGTGATTGCTTGACACAGAGCTCCATTGAAATGAATTAACTCCTATTATCACACAGCTGCAAAATCACATTGACTCAAATGCATCTAATCCTTGTGCATTGGCAGATTTGCCGCCAGTGGAATTAGGGTTTCTTTTTTAATTAAGTGGCCAGTTCACTGCATTAGTTTATGTGCTTGCATTGAATGTGTCTCTGTTATATATTAACTCTGTTATACTGACGTAAGTGGGAAGTGTTGAAACATAACATGATTCAAAAAGAAATTGCAAGTTCTCAGTGTAGCGAACTCTTCCTTCCTCTCATGATGGAAGCTGCTACGGAATACTTCTGCTTCAGTTCTCAGAGTTCTGACCATGTTGAATTTTCCAAATATCTCCTCTATAGTGTTTTAAATTCTCTCTGTGTGATATAGTATTGATGTACACCAGAATAAAAAAGATCAGCCTTATAATGCTAATATAATGCTGTAAGAATTGAATGGTAATCATTGTTCTTAATGCATGAAGACTATTCAAAGGAACTTTACAATAAAACAGTCTTACCATAGGATTTAGTGAGTAGTGAATGGATTCTGTGTGAGGACTCAGCAAGGAACACTTTCAGGGGTTTAAGCTGAAATTATAGAATGATAAGTATTCTGTATAAGGGCTGTGCTAGAAATTGAGCAATTAATATGTCTTCCTTCATGGAAGGCTTTTGCAGGAATAAAGTAAAAAGCATATCCTTCTGAATTGTAACTTGTGTAGGGAATGTATGATGCCATCTGTTTGTGAGACCTTATTGAAAATTAGCTAGTCTTCAGCTCTTTCTATGTGGGGTCTAAGTGGATTCCAAAGAAAGTTCAGATCCTTCTGCATAAGGACTCAGACTGGGAGTGCACAATCATATGACGGTCTATACAGAGCATTTTAATTGGAATTTAGTAACTTTCTGTTAATGGGCTTCAGTGAAGACTAATTGATCCTTTATAGAAGCATGAGTTGATCCTTTTATGGAATTAAAAACAAAGAGCAGCTGATTTGGAGAAATCTGAAACATAAAACAGAAAGTGTTAGAGAGACTGATTAGGTCTGGCAGCATCTGTAGAAAGTAAACCAGTGTTCAAGTCCAAAGATGCTTCGTCATAACTGTTCTAATAATAGGTCACTAGATTTGAAACAATAACTCTGTTTTTCTCTGTGCAGATACTGCCAGATCTTCTGAGTTTCTGCAGCAATTTCTGTTTTTGGTCCTTTTCAGGATGTGACTTCACTGGACAGTGCACAGTGAATGTGGGAGAGACTTCAGTCGTGTTTTGTGACGTTACATAAATGAAGACTGAAGAATTAAAACTGTGATGAGTGCTGAGTTCAGAGTTGGTTAATTAGTCTTGGAAGAGCAAATCAAGACCAAGTTTGTAGGGTTTACCAGTATTAGGACAGTCATGTTATCAGATTAATCAAGGAGATCATTTTAAATGATGTTTTACCTTCTTACTTTACCAGGTAATCTGTACCCTTGTGGCAGCATTTCTGCATTTTTTCTTCCTCTCATCATTCTGCTGGGTGCTGACAGAGGCCTGGCAGTCATACATGGCTGTCACAGGAAGATTACGAAATCGAATCATCAGGAAGCGGTTTCTTTGTCTGGGATGGGGTAAGTAGATAGAACCTTACATGTTTGATAACCATGGGAAGCACTATGTTCCTAATCAGTTTTTAAACGCACGTCTGTTTCTCCAAGGCTACCCCACTTTCACCTTGTCCTCTTCTTATGATCGAACTGTAAAGTTACTATGCTCACTTTCGAAGGTGCTGTTCAGTTAATCAGGAGTCACAGTTAAGTGCTAGAGCAATGGATCCATTTATTGCTTGTCTAGAAGATGTCATCGGTTTCTTGGATAACTGAGAATGAGGATGACCATTTGTTTCATCTTTATTCCCTTAGAATTGGAGAATAGGATATTCCTTTAAAAAAATGCCAGAAATAGCATTATAATTGTCTTCAGTATTTTCGCCATCATTGCACTGTGGCTGTAAGACTTCTGCCTCAACTCATCAAGCTCATTGATTTTGTTAAAATGTATGAGTGGGCATGAGATGCATGATGTTAGCTTTTCTGCCTTAGTCCCCCTGCTACATGTGGGCATTGATATAAGACCACTCAAATTACTTCAACCTTCAATCTTGGTTGACAGAGCTGCCACATGACAGTGAGGTGTTATGGGAAGAACAAGTTCTGAGGGATGTGTCTTCTATACTTGCCCTTCACATAACTACCTAGCTGCCTCTTGTACTTTGCCACTGATGTTACAGGCAGAGATGAGCAAACATTTTTGAAATGCTGTCTCCTCAGCAATCACAACATTGAACAGTCTGTTGGAGCCACCGCTAAGCTCAGGAGATGTATGAACTTTTAGAAATTGTTTTTAGTTTGATCGCTTCTCAGTTTTGTGTCAAACTAACAGATGAATGCTTGTGCTGTATTATTTACAGGAAGAAAATAAAGACTATTATAACGCTATTTCTGGTATTTTTAAAGGAATATTCTACATTTCACAGGAATTTCTCATCTACTGTACAACACACTATGCAACTAATCTTCAAAGGTTTTGCAAAATAAGTCAGTTATCCCACAATAATTTATGTGTGGCTTTGAGAAAAGCATCTAATTTTCAGTACACTCTGCGCTCTTACCTAACCATTGATCGTCCATCCTTTCACGGATGAATACAGCTCCAACAACAACTGAAATTTCTACAAAAGTCCAGCTTAAAGTAATCTACTGGATGGCAATTCATCTACTGACTTAAGCACCCACTTCCAACCACCGATAAAGTACTGTGCACAAGGTTTGCAATCTCCACTGCAACTCACAAAGGTTTTGGTTTAGGCAGCACTTTCCAAACCTGCAATCTCCCAAGAGTTGGAGGAAGAAGAAGAGCAACAGCTGCACTGGGACACCATCACCTCTAGGTTGTCCTCAAAGCTAAACCTCACCTGATTGGACTCATATCACTGACATGTGGGAGCATTGTTGTTGTGTGAAAAGCATGGGTTTAAAAAATGTGTGGTGCCTCTTTTTAACAGAGAACAAGGTGTAGGCAAAACAAAAGTTCTGACCATAACAGTGATGTCACAGTTTGGAGAATGAATGAACAAAGAGCAGATATTTCGGGCCCTGACGTTGGTGGACACAGTAACTAAAGGGCACAGCATTCCGGTTTACTGACTTCATCCAACGCTAGGGCTGTTTTCCGTAAAGCTGGAAATGGAGCTACCTGCCCATGAGTCGGCTAGTTAAGTGCAGTTGAGGCCTATTGTCCAGATGTTGTGACCCCCCCCCCCCCCCCCCCCCACCCACTCCCACCACCACCACCACCCACCACCACCACTTCCCTATTCCCCTCCCCAAAAGCTGCCTGGAGGTAGCTCCTCAAAGGCAGACTGCGGGTGCACCAGGGTCCAGGCAAGTTCAAAGGCCATTCTTTAGCTGTATTCAGCTTCAGTCCGAGGCAACTCCGTAGAGAGTTCCCTCTCCCATCCTCCAGCACAATGGCTTTTGAGGGATTTGTTCATTTTAAGCTTTGAAACTTAACAGGGGAGGGTGCGAATGAGTGATCCTATGTGTCACTCATCTGCAAAGGCAGTCTACTATTGCTTATCAATTGGAAGGCTTCCTAATTGGACACTTGAGTCCACTGCCTAGCTGCTGATTGGGTATTTTAACAAAATTACAGCAATTGTTCATGCAACACTGTCTTCTGATCCTCATTTGGGGATCACCAAAGGACCTTAGACAGCACGTTCCACACACTTTCATTTAGAAAGTCAAGGGCAGCAGATACGTGCGAATATCGTCACCTGCAAGTACTGAACCTTGCAGCAACAGATTCTGCTCAAAGAAGCAAATGTCAAGAACTAATCCTGAGGCATTTTAGACTTAGGCACCCCATGCATTATAACAAATTTAATCTCTTGGATTTAGATCTGCAAAAGTTAGAAAAATTGTTTCAATGCTGACAGTTCAGCTTTCAGATTTTTTCTGAATCTTGAACATTCTAAGTAGTAATGTTCTGAAACAAAATAAATAAGTGTCCTTCCCTTAAGGGTACAAAAAAAATTGTTCCTCAACTGTAACAAGGAGCAATAAAGGAAAAAAGGACATAAAAATGGTAAATAAAAACCAAAAGAACTGTGGATGCTGTAAATCAGGA